AGCAATTACTTTGATTATAATGAAGCTTTGTCGAGAATACGTCAAGTTGGTAGTCTACGCGACTATCAAAAGGAGTTTGAGCAGATTGCTAGTAGAGTGCGAGATTGTCCCGAAAGTGCACTAGTGGGAGCATTTGTTGGAGGACTCAAAGCCGAGTTGGCGGCATAAGTGAGGTTGGATAGGCCGAGGTCAACGCGAGCGACTATGGAGTAGGCTCGATTGCACGAGGATCACTTTGTGTCAGTCCTCAAGGTGAAGCCGAGTGACGTGCGCACGGAGACGAGGCGCGAACGCCGCAGCCGAGAAGGCGCCCCCATGGGCCGAGAGCAAGACGATGTTCGGCGAAGGAATGCTCACAACGAGCAACATGCGGCGATTGACGGAGGAGGAGATCCAACGGCGGAGAGCGAAAGGCTTATGCTTCACGTGTAATGAGAGGTTCACACCCGGACACAAGTGCACGGGTAAGGAAGTATTTTTACTTGAGTTTGGGACTGATGATCATGTGGAAAGCGAACCGCGAGGGGAAACTCTACTACACGTGGTTAAGCGCGACAGGAAGAGAGGCCCGAAGATGATCAGATTCACGGCCGAAATTAAAGATAGATTGCTTGAGGTGCTAGTGGACAGTGGGTCTACTTTAAATTTTATAGATGAGGAGTTGTCGAAGAAGCTGAAGTTGGTGCCTACTAAAGTCAAGACCTTTGGAGTGAAAGTAGCAAATGGAGAGGAACTTCGAGGTAACTTGTTGTTCAAGAAGGTTCCAATCATGGCACAGGATCAGGAGTTGGAGATCGATCTCTATGCCTTACCGTTTAAGGCTACTGACGTGGTGTTGGGAGTGCAGTGGCTCGAGACACTTGGGCCCATCACAACCAACTACAAGGGAGGTACTATGGAGTTTGGGTGTTCTAGGAAAAGAATCAAGCTGCGAACGGAGGACCAAGGAGATTCGCCTGTTGAGGAGGACGACGAGGATGTTGACATGCTCAATTTCATTATCCTGACAAAGAAGTACTCGAAGAGGACGGGAATGATACGGAAGTGGTTATCAACCCCGGTGAGTCCGAGGATGAGTCTTGGGAAGAACTCGAGAGATGGTTTGAGAATGGGCCGAGAGAGCCGAAAGTCGAAGAATATTGGCCATACGTTAGGCGAGACTAGCTAAGAGGGTGTGGGAAGAGAGCACGATCGCGCAACAAGAGGCGCTTTGCAAGGCTAAGCGTGCCAAGAAGAGAAGCACGACTAGTACATGCGAGGAGGCTGAGTGGGTAGATGTCGAATGCGTAGTACCGGAAAACCTAGGAGAGTGGTGCAAATCTTGCGCGAGGAAAAGGCGTGCATGGCATGGAGGTTCGAAGGAATGGCACGCGAGGGGTTGAGGATGGGTGGCGAGCGCGCGCGGGCGACTGTTGTGGGATGGCGAGTCAATGCGGGGAGTGGCCGGGCGTAATAGCGTGTGCGGAGGATAACCGCGAGTGGGCCGAGGCGTGGTCGGCTACAAGCGAATGGCGCGCATCAGGTGGTTATGCGCACGATATCGAAGACAGGACAGCGCTAGGCGCACACGAGCGCGCGATGAAGGAGTTGGGCGCAGAAACGGCCAGAACGCGCGAAACGCCAGGTGCAAGCAAAGACGGCGTGGGGGCCCGGGACGTGCACGTCAACCACGCAGGTGACTGGGACACGTGGGCGTCAGACAGCGAGGGCGCAGGGCGCGCGAGTGGCAGGGACACGGGCGCAGGCCTAGGCCTTGTAAGCCTAGGACAAGCGGGCGCCCGACACCACGCACAAGAGCAGGTCGACGAAGGCTGGGCA